GTCTCCAGAACATCTGCATGGAACTCAAGAAGGTCTGCAACCACCCCTTCCTCTGCAGGGCGCCGGAGGAGACAGCCGAAAGAGACAGACTGTTGATTGATGGATCTGCCAAGTTAAGACTTTTGGATAAACTCCTCAAGAGACTCAAGGAAAAGGGACACAGAGTCCTCATCTTCTCGCAGATGGTCAAGATGCTCAACATTCTCGCTGAGTTCCTCAAGCTCAGGGGGTACAAGCACCAGGTCTGCTGCTGCTGCTGCTGCTGCTGCTGCTGCTGCTGCTGGTGTCTCCTTTTGTCTTTGGTTTGTCTCCTTTGTCTTTAGTTTGTCTCCTTTTGTCTCCTTTTGTCTCCTTTTGTCTCCAAGAGTGTCTCTTTTTGTCTCTTCCTCGGCGTTATATTTTCAAGAATGTCTCCAAATGTATTTCTGAAATCGTCTCCAAATGTGTTTCTCATAGTGTCTCCGAATGTGTCTCCAAATGTGTCTCTTTTTTCCAATATATCGCTAAATAGATCTCCAAACTGTCTCCAAAAGTGCCTCCGAACTGTCTCCAAAAGTGTCTCCAAAGTGTCTCCTTCCGTCTCCAAAACAGATCCCAAAAGTGTCTCCAAAGTGTTTCCAAACTGTCTCCTTTTCTCTCCAAAACAAATCCCAAAAGTGTCTCTTTCTATCCAAAACAAACCCCGAAAGTGTCTCCTTTTCTCTCCAAAACATCTCCCAAAACTCTCTCCGAACTATCTCCAAACTCTCCAAGAACTCTCCAAAAACTCTCCAAACTGTCTCCTCCTGCCTCAAAACTGTCTCGAAAGTGTCTCCTTTTGTCTCCTGTTTTCTCCTTTGTCTCCTGTTGACTCCAAAACAACTCCCAAACTGTCTCCAAACTGTCTCCAAACTGTCTCCAAACTGTCTCCTTTTGTCTTGTCTCCAAAGTGCCTCCTGTTGTTTCTTTTCGTCTCCTTTTGTCTCCAAAGTGCCTCCAGCTGTCTCCAACTGTCTCCAACTGTCTCCTTCTATCTCCTTTCGTCTCCAAAGTGTCTCCTTTTGTCTCCAAACAAGACCCAAGGCTGTCTCTCTTTGTCTCCAACTGTCTCCTTTCGTCTCCAAACTGTCTCCAAAGTGCCTCCTTTTGTCTTTTTTGTCCCCAAAGTGTCTCCAACTGTCTCCTTTGGTCTCCTCAGTCTTCAAACTGTCTCCTTGTGTCTCCTTTTGCCCCCAAAATGTCTCCTTTTATCTCCAAACAACTCCCAAAACTGTCTCCTTTCATCTGCAAACTGTCTCCTTTTGTCTCCTGTTGCCTCCAACTGTCTCCTTTTGTCTCCTTTTGTCTCCAAACTCTCTCCAGACTCTCTCCAACTGTCTCCTTCTGTCTCCTCCTGTCTCCTTTTGTCTCCATCCAACTCCCCAAAGTGTCTCCTTTCGTCTCCTTTAATCTCCTTTAATCTCCAACCAACTCCCAAACTGTCTCCTTTTGTCTCCTTTTGTCTCCTTTTGTCTCTTTTTGTCTCCTTTTGTCTCTTTTTGCCTCCAACCAACTCCCAAAATTGTCTCCAAACTGTCTCCTTTTATCTCCAAACTGTCTCCAACTGGCTCCTTTTGTCTCCTTTTGTCTCCTTTTGTCTCCTTTTGTCTCCTTTTGTCTCCTTTATCTCCAACCAACTCCCACACTGTCTCCTCCTGTCTCCTTTTGTCTCCTTCAACCCCCAAAGTGTCTCCAAACTCTCTCCAAACAGTCCCCAAACTGTCTCCTTTTATCTCCAAACTGTCTCCAAACTGTCTCCTTCAATCTGCATCCAACTCCCAAAGTGTCTCCTTCTGTCTCCTCCTGTCTCCTTTTATCTCCAAGCTGTCTCCTTTCATCTCCAAACTGTCTCCTGTCTCCTTTAATCTCCAAACTGTCTCCTTTCGTCTCCTTTCGTCTCCTTCTGTCTCCTTTGTCTCCTTTGTCTCCTTTGTCTCCTTTTACCTGCAAACAACTCCCAAAAGTGTCTCCTTCAATCTCCAAACGGTCTCCAAACTCTCTCCAAACTGTCTCCTTTTATCTCCAAACGGTCTCCAAACTCTCTCCAAACTGTCTCCTTTTATCTCCAAACTGTTTCCTTTTGTCTCCAAACTGTCTCCTCTTGTCTCCTTCCATCCCCAAACTGTCTCCTTTCGCCTCCAAACTGTCTCCTTTCGCCTCCAAACTGTCTCCTTTTGTCTCCTTTTGTCTCCTTTTGTCTCCTTTTGTCTCCTTTTGTCTCCTCTCCCCTCCAAACTGCCTCCAAGCTGTCTCCTTCCGTCTCCTTTTGTCTCCTTCCATCTCCAGCTGTCTCCTTTCCTCTCCAGCTGTCTCCTTTAACCTCCAAACTGTCTCCTCCCACCTCCAACTGTCTCCAAACTGTCTCCAAAAGTCTCCTTTTGTTTTCTTATGTCTCCTTTTGTCTCCTTTCATCTCCATCTCTCTCCTTTTGTTTCCTTTTGTCTCCTTTTGTCTCCTCTCATCTCCAACTGTCTCCTTCCATCTCCAAACTGTCTCCTTTTGTCTCCAAACAGTCTCCTTTAATCTCCAAACTGTCTCCAACAACTGTCTCCTTTAATCTCCAACTTTGTCTCCTTTTTGTCTCCTTTTTGTCTCCTTTCGTCTCCTTTTGCCTCCTTTAATCTCCAAACTGTCTCCTTCCCTCTCCAACTGACTCCTTTCCTCTCCAAACTGTCTCCTTTTACCTCCAAACTCTCTCCAAACTCTCTCCAAACTGTCTCCTTTAATCTCCTTTTTTGTCTCCTTTTGTCTCCCTTTTGTCTCCGTTTGTCTCCTTTTGTCTCCTTTAATCTCCAAACTGTCTCCTTCCCTCTCCAACTGTCTCCTTTAATCTCCAAACTGTCTCCTTTCACCTCCAAACTGTCTCCAAACTGTCTCCAACTGTCTCCTTTAATCTCCTTTTTGTCTCCTTTTGTCTCCTTTTGTCTCCTTCAGCGTTTAGACGGAACAATGCCGAAAGAAGTTCGCCGGAAGGCGATGGAGCAGTTCAACTCGCGGGCGAGTTTGGACTTTTGCTTTTTGCTTTCCACGAAGGCCGGCGGCCTTGGCATTAACCTCACTTCCGCAGACACAGTCATCATCTTCGACTCCGGTCAGCAGCAGCAGCAGCAGCAGCAGCAGCAGCAGCAGCAGCGGCAGCGGGGAGGGTAGCAGCAGCAGCAGCGGGGAAGGAGGGGTAGGGGTAGCAGCAGCAGCAGCAGAAGCAGCAGCGGGAGGGGTGGGGAG